ACTTGGGCACCCCTGTTACAGATCAGGCATCCCCAAACTCGGTCCTTGAGGGCCGCTGTCCTGTAGGTTTTAGATGTTTCTCTGCTCCAGCACAGCTGATTTTAATTGATAGTTGATTAACAGGCTTTTGCTCTACTGCAATCATCATAATCAGCTGTGCTAAAGCAGGGAAACCTCTAAAACCTGCAGGACAGCGGCCCTCGAGGACCGAGTTTGGGGATGCCTGCTTTAAAGAAAATCTAATGATGATCTGCTCTGGAACAGACATGGTTACTGATTGGTCCTTTGGATCTATTTCATTCTTTTTCTTTATGAATTCTTTTTTACTAATTGTTCAAAAACAATAAGGTGATAGCTTCAGTGGTACTGAGACAGGATCCCAGTTTTTATCGCTAAATTGTTTTTCATAAGAAATAAAAAAAATGCTCTAATTTTTACAGATGAATTTAACAGTTTTTCTTGAGTTCTAATTCAATTTTATAGAAAACTGTAGTTTTAACTTAATTCAAAAATGTGTAGAATTCCTAAATTATAAATGTATATTGACCTCATAAGAAATAGAATTTTTATTGAACCTAATTGAAAATAAATGTCCCTTCATGCAGCTCTCTTAATATATCTGAATCTCTTGCTCTGTTTTTTATTTCCTGCTTTTCTGGGCCCCCATGAAAACACGCTGCCCCCCTCCTGGTCCATTTGGTCTAGATCCGCCACTGTTCCTCCCCTTCACTAGACGTGGATATACTTTAGTATATTCTGCTGTAAAATGAGTCCTATATTTTAGTTTTTTACTGGAGGATTGACCCTCTGCCGTTTCCCAGGATGCACAGCTTTGAGTGGTAACTATGTGACTGCCAGAGAGGAACCAGAGAAACTAATCGTACTGATCCAATCAGCTCTGATCAACCGGTCGGCTGGAACGCTGGTTGATCAGAGCATCGCTTTGGACAGAAACGCTGCACAAGTTTCAACAGCAACCTCCTCCCCACATATCCAGCTCTCTATTGTTGTTCCTGTGCAATCGAAGTAGTTCTAATCCTCACATGATGCATGAATTATTGCCTGCTCGCTCTCACCTGCATTAAAAAACTCCACAATAATTTATTCGACTCGCAGGCATCCTTGAACAGCTATTTATATCAGGGAGATTCCCGGAACTTCCGGGAGACTTGGGATGTCTGCAACAGGGAGAGTATATATAGGAGACAGAACAGAGACTGGACTAACGAGCTGATAAGGAACAGGTGTGGATGGAAGCATCTAGAAGGGAGCCATGGGGGAAAAAAACAAACACAATAACAAAACTTTGCTAGAAAACAACTACAAATACAAAGAAACTGAAAATAAAGTAAAACAGAGGGCAGAACCCTGGCAGTTTTTAGTCTTTTTGGGACAGTTTTTACAAACACTTTATTTGACTCCCCTTTCAGAGACATAGACAGGTATGGACCATTGAACACTAACAAAAGAAGCCAAACGACTTAGATTCCTAAGGGTTGATGATTGTTATCGATGTTTTTAACAGGGAACCGAAAAGCGATTTGATTAAGAAAGCATTTTAATTCTTGTACATTAAGGGTTGTTTTTTGACCATGTCTTTTGTGACTGTAAATGTATTTTTATTTGTTATGTAATTCTGTGAAACACTTTATGACCTCTATGTCTGTGAAAGGCGCTATATGAATAATTACTTACCTTCTTAGAAAGGAATCAGTGACCCATTCCAAAGGGCTGGACCTTGTTCTTGGTCAATTTGCATGTTTTCTAAGACAAAACTATTTTTCATCTACTTATTCCAAAAAAAGTTTTTAAAAAAACAATCCACTGGACTTTGCTTCCCAGTTTCTGACATTTTGAAATGAAAAAGCTTCCTGGATGGAAGAGAAAAGTCTTTAAACTTGGAAACAAATTCCAGTGGATTGATTTGAACTTTTTTCTGGAGTGACTCTGACCTGAATGACTGAGAATCTCCACCGGCATTAATTTGGTAACCTGTCAGCAAACCCTTCATGCAGCCTGTGTATAAACATACGGCAAGAGTTTCTGACACCCAGCATGTGCTGCATGGTCCTAAAGTTAAAAGGAGAGTTTACAAAATATTTAAAGTTCTTCATGAAGAAAATAAAAAGAAAAACTTCAAAAAAAAAAAAAGTGCATCCAGGTAACCATTACTGACGTATAACAGGAAAAGAAAAGAAAAAACAGAAGATGTGTTGTTTTTCTTTGAGCCTAGCTTGAATTAATAAGGTTCTTCTGTCCGGGAGATATTTCACAGATGTTTGATGTTTAATTCAGCGAAGAATCTTACTTTATTCCCTTCTTCTCTTTCTTCTCAGGTTTGTGTTTGGAGACTCTGCTCCTGGAAGCCAAGGAGATGTTGATGTATAAGACGGTCATGATGACGACGGGCAGGTAGAAGGCGGCTATGGCCGTCCCAAAGGTCACCGCGGGGTTAGACAGGAACTGGGAACGGGAACAAGAGAAGGAAAATATTTCACTTTAAGATAAACACAAGCAGCAATTCAAGTTCAATATCATTTCTTTGTCTTTATTCACAAGATGTCAAATCAAATTTTCTACGTTTCAAAGCAGAGTTTCCACATTCAGTTGGTGAGTTGGTTTGGTATAGATTAGCATTTTATTGCATTTCCATCACATTTTTAACTAAATTTAGATTCTAACAAGTAAAAAACCTGTTTCCAAATCCCCTGTCTGTAAAATTTAAAAATAACACAAATAATTTAAACTATTTAAAAAAAAATTGTGTTTGTAGTTATGAAATAAATAAAAAAGGATAAAAATGGTTGCTGGTGATAAAGGAGATGTGCCTGATGTGGCCATTTATCCTAAATTCTTGTAATTTTACCAATTTAGTTTTTTTTTTTTGGTAAGTAAAATATATTTAAGTTAATTTGGAACCAAAGTTTTTAATTTATTTATTATATTTGGAATTGTTTGGATTAAAGTCGTTTATCGTTGGATCCTCCCATTAGTTTGAGTAAATAAAATAACAGCAGGTGTTGGTGCTGATTGTTTTGGTAAATGGAGGGGGGGGACGGGAGGTTTTGTTTTTTTACTTTTTTAATTGGTAAAAATCAAATTTAAATTGTTTTTCATTTCAACAAAGTTGAAAGACATTTTTTGTAATTATTTAGTCTTTTCTTTTAAAACAAATAAGTCAGAAGTGCATACAAAGCCAAAAACCACCTGTTACCACCCACAGCCAATTTGGAAATTCTAGTATTTTTAATGGAACAGAAGGCAATGACAATAAAAAAAATAAATTTCTATTTATGTTTCTTTGTTTCTTTGCTTCCAACCTTTTCTCAGTGATAATCATGTAACAACCACATTTGAAAAGGTTTTATTTGACCTATCCATTAACATCAGCTTCCAACAGGTTATGTGACTGTAGAACTTTTCCCAGAGAAAAAAAAGAAAATGGCCGACCAATTCCCTAATTCATGTAAAAAAAAAACTCAACAAGTAAAAATCTAAATTGCATTTCTATATATTTTTTCATATTTGAAGGAGCAAGTGTAAATATTTTCATAATTTTTCTTCATGGAATGTAGAAAATCTTCCATCAGTTTGGCCAAAGATTCTACGGAACCCCAGAAATGACATGGGAGAAAAAAGTGTAACAATTTGTGGAAGCAGAATACTAATTTGTTCCCACAAAAAGATATTTGTTCCCACAAAATATTACTTTGGCTCCAAGAAATACTAATTTGTTGCCACAAAACACAAATTTGTTACCAAAAAATATTAATTAGATCCCACAAAATATGAATTTGTTACCACATTTGTTACCATTTGTGGAAACAAATTCATATTTTGTGGGAACAAATTTATATTTCATGGTAAAAAAAATGTTTTGTGGGAAGAAATAAATATTTTTTGGTAACAAATTAATATTTCCTTGGAAACAAATTAGTATTTTGTGCGTACGCTGTATCTCTTTTTTCTCCCATGTCAGTTCTGGGGCTCCGTAGTTTCAGTGACTCCTCAGAAAAACACTTCTGTTTACAAATCAACACACAATCATAGTACATGCAACGTCTTGTTCTGTGCAAAAAATAAATAAAAAAAATAACCCTGAGGAAAGGGAACATATGAGTTGCGTTAATTGATCAGAATTTTTTGTCATTAAATAAAACAATAATCAGTTTAAAACCCCTAAATGTTTTCCTCAAGCAGTTGCTGTAGATATTGATAGCTGTAGGCAGGAAGGATTTTCTGGATCTGCTGTTGCTCAACAAACAGCATCACAAAGCTCAACATGTGCAGGAAACTAAAACTTAGTGATAAACTGTATCTCATTGTTTCTTCTTTTTTCTTATCAAAATTGTCAAAACAGGATGACATCAGTTTAATAATAATAATAAAAATAATAGTATTATTGGTTCTATTTTCTTAGCTATTATTTTTATACACTTTTCTGAGGTCCACGTTGTGAGAACACTTCTGCTGTTATCTTTTGCTGCTGTAACACAACAATTTCCCCATTGTGGGACATTAAAGAGCATTTTTCTATTCTATTCTACTCTATTCTACGAATATTTATTTGACACAGTGAAAAGCACTACATATGAAGGCCAAAGACCTCACACAATGTCACACCCACTCTCTGCATTACCTACACTGATACAAATATACGTACAACATATTAGCCTAAATACCGCTTTCCCACTGGCCGCAAACCTGTTTAAACCAGTGAACAACGGGCTTTTAGTGGCAGTGGGAACAGCTCACTGACACATGTCTACTCGGTTCATATGACTCGGCAAGCGACCTGCGTTAAAATCACCTCAGCTCTGATCGGCAGGCTGTGAGAACACAAGAATTACGTGATGACATTGAACACAACGTACGGACGTCAACAAACCGCAATAGTTGCTTCTGATCTAACAATCTGAAACAACTGTTTCAGTTCGATAAACACGCAGCAGCTCTGGTGAGAGGGATTCAGGCAGATAATAGAGAGAAACAATGAAGCACACTGACTATGCCCTGGCTTCCTTCCACGTCCCTCTTCATTGTTTACTTCCCTGATTTTTGGCGCACATGACATGACGGTGTCAGCAGACACACAGCGGTGGGGGCATAGAGGCCATGCAGCTGTCAGCGAGGGGTCAGACCAGCTTTTTCTACCAGTGGCAAGTGAGATAAATGCCATTCGTTAGCGGGTCGATCAATTATTTGGAAAACACATATTGATCTGCTATTTTTTCAATGGGAAAGAGGCTTAATTGTCCAATTTAGCAGTTTCCACAAACCCAAGGCGAGACCTTCCTACATACATCGACATTATTGATTCCCTCTGCTCATCTAAACTGTTATTTACGGTCTGTCTTTCAGAAAATTGTTTCAAATCAGGTACATCAGCTAAAGCCGGGATACGCTGTACGACTTTTGGCCCTTTTCGCGCCGATTTTCGAGTCGTACGAGAATATTTTTGGATCGGGCCGAGTTTCAGCCTGATTGTGCGTTGTGTGGTATACAGGGGGTAATGAGGGGTGATCGGCCTCTAACGATAACCTCCCCATCAGGAATGGTAAGGTCAGTAGGAAATCAAACATGTTTGAAATTCAGTCGGTCGTCGTCAGGTGGTCATGGGCAAATCCTGCTGTTGAATCACAACTACGAGCAAAACTAAAGATTTAGTTTGGAGCTAAATATTTAGTTAAAAACTAAACATTTAATTTGCAAACTAAATATTTAGCTCCAAATTAAATATTTATTTAACCTAGTGAAGGAACGACATAGTGAAAAAAATACTTGAGAAAAAAAATAAGCCCCTAATTTTTCTCTTAAAACACGCTATAAAACCATAAATATTGCTCCTAATTTTTGACTGCTTAACTTTACAAACAGCGCCCCATAACACCATTCTATATTCTATAGCTCTGCGATTCTAAATTACATTTTATTGGCTGTTGACAGAACCATGGGCCACGACACCTGGTTTAATTTTTTGTCGTTTTATCCAAATAAAGAACAGTCGGTGGTTCTGTGTGAGATCAAGCTACTGTTGAAATAACATCTGGAAAAGAAAATGGAGGAAAGTTCAGAAAAAAGTTCAGCAACAAGTTACTGCATGAAACTCTTCTAACAGTCAGACATGCATTCAGTTCACCTCATGGTGCTTCTTTGTCTTTGTTATTAAAAACCAGACGTTTATGTCTATCTAGATTTGTTTTTGTAAAAAAGGGTCAGTGTGTGGGAGAAGGATGTTTGCTTTTAACACACACTGATTCATTTCACGCCCTAAAAACAACCTGGTTTCCCGTTAGCGAGAACCAGCCGACGGTCTAAACCATCTGCTGAGATGTCCGAGGAAACATATTCTCCACTTGGATCTTTGGACAAAGTTATTCATTGGTATTCATTGTTTTAATTGAAAAAAAAAGGACAGTGGACAATTTTCTGTGAATTTACTTTTGCTCTTTATGAAACTAGCAAATATTTTGACCACACTGTCTGCAAAGGAGTGAACCGTGGGTTTATGGCGTTATCATACCACACGCCTGCCGTTTCCTTTGCTAGCATATGCCTTTAGTGGAGGGATGCTGGTTTCGTCTTTAATAACACCCACCTAATTTGAAGTAATCGTCACCTATGTTGCATATCCAAATTGAAAAACAAATAACCTAGGAACTATAAGCCCAAATTACATCATTTGTAAGCTAACAGCTTCTACGTAGTTTCTGAATATATAAAATGAAAATAGGGTGAGTAAAACACAGCCTAAGCTGCATCAGTTCAAACGTTGACTCAAAGTTGTTGTTTTTTATTCTCGAAAATAATAATTCTTCCTTGAACAGCAGTAATAAAGACATGCTAGAGAAAAGGAAGGTCTCATTGTACAAAATGTGTTCTACGTAATGTCAACCAAAAATGCAGAAAATGTCAGACCTCTAGCTACAACAGTTCCAGAGCAGTGGGGGTTTGAACTTTTGGAGTCATCAGCGTGTCCAAAACTCTCTAAATGTGCCAAATGCTTTTACTCAACTATTTGACCCATAGAATAACACTGAAGCATTTTAATGGCCACAGAACATTTATGAAGAAATTATTTTCCACTTTTTTCAGAATCAGTGTATATAACAAAAACAGCTTCGAACTGAACGCACTGATCCAGAGTCAGCTGGGTCTTTCAGTCTTACGCAAGCCAGTAACACGGCTCTGCTTTATGCAACCCAGCCACGGCTCTGATTATGTCATAGAGCGGCGCCGAGGTCTGGTCAGATCCCAAGACTCCTTTGAACCCTTATGGACGAATGAAGTGTAAACAATTGAAGATTGGATTTATAAAACAGCTTCTGGACGCCTTCAAATGGACGTAGCTGGGGCTGCTTTGTTTGTTTACATTTTGACATGCTGCTATATCTCTGGTAATGGTTCCTTGATGCTCGCTGTGTCCATAAAATGATCTTGGTGGTTGCCTTCTGGAGAATGTAAGCTTTCCAACGATGTCTAACATGTCTATATTGGTAACTATTTAACCAGACTTTAAGAGGTCAAAACTGCTTGTTGAACCAAATGGGTGACCACATGTTTTACCACTGAATGTAAGCATGAGTGCCTAAACTAACTTATTCTTATTGGGCCTTAAATAGAACCCAGTAATGAGGGGTTTTTGATATTGAGGTTCTCATGTAAAGTTTATCATTGTGTGTTTTCAGTTTCTTAGCTTTGTAAAATTGCTTTTGTTTTACATTGAATTAAAGCTTCTTAAGCCACAAATGTTGCTTTTATTTATAAATCGGCGTTAGGATTCTAGAATGAATATGGTCCACATTTTGTAACTTAAGTTACCAGACCAGGCCAGGTTTAGCTCAGATAAGCCTGATATTGAAACAGGAACTCATGTCCAAGTGAATTAGCAACCTGTGTACCAGGTGCTACAATGAGTTGCAGATCTGCGCCGTTTCTGGGCTGTAAAAAAAAAAAAAAAAATTCCTAGTTCATGTCAGTTTTACACGTTCGGGCCTGATGCTCTACTATATCTGGGAAGGAAGCTTAGCCTGCACAGTTGTGAGGGTTTCTCCTCAACATTATGGGATTATGGGATGGTGTGACACCATGGTATAGACATACAGTATAAGCTACAGTAGCAGCCATTCAAAGTGGCCCTTCCAAGTCAAACGCCCATCAGTCCATCCATCCTTCAACACACTTAATCCTAAGTGGGGTCATGAGGGGTGCTGGTGTCTATCTCCAGCTGTCGATGGGCGAGAGGAGGGGTCCACCCTGGACAGGTCGCCATTCCATCGCTGGACCAGTCAAAAGCCCAATGGCAGCAAAATCCCCTGCAACTTCCAGCCACTGGCCTTCTCCTGGGTGTGAATATTTTTTTACTCTGACTCCACCATTTCACTGAATTACAGGGTCTGAGATGATGCTGCTCTTTAGATCTTAATGTCCACAAATCCAGACACAAAGAATATTTTAGATGTTTAAAAAGGAATTGTAAGGGACCAGCCAAGGACCAACCAAGGACCAGTCAAGGACCAGCCAAAGACCAGCAAAGGACCAACCAAGGACCAGCCAAGGACCAACCAAGGACCAACCAAAGAACAGCTAAGGACCAACTAAGGACCAGCCAAAGACCAGCAAAGGACCAACCAAGGACCAGCCAAGGACCAACCAAGGACCAACCAAAGAACAGCTAAGGACCAACTAAGGACCAGCCAAAGACCAGCAAAGGACCAACCAAAGAACAGCTAAGGACCAACT